CTTGAGCCCAGGAGTTGGAGGTTGCTGTGAGCTGTAATGCCACACGGCACTCTACCCAGGCGGACAGCTTGAGGCTCTGTCCCAAAAATAAAAAAAATAAATAAATAAAAATAACACTAGAGAAGAAATTCAAAAGACAGAAAGACTATCATGCCAGAAGATAAGCATTACCTAGCTGTGACTAACTGTACCTGCCTTATAGACGATAAAAAGATTCTTTGGTATGAAATGGCTATCCGCTTTTTCCTGACTCTCTTAATGTGAAGCAATGCTACGTAGTTTACTAACAGTGAGTTGAGACTTACTGCCTATTTTAGATAAGTCTTAGATCACTAAGAGCATTGACAAGGGAAGGGGCAAAACTTAAGTGATTTATTTATTTACTTTTATATTGATTTTTTCCAATCTGAATAGTTTAGAAAACACAAAACAGTATCTTCTTAAACTACCAGGAATGTAACTTATATTCTCTCTACCCCTCAAAATTCTTCTTAATATATCATTACAATAATGAACTATTACCTAACAGTAATTTCTAAATTATATTCTTAGTGTCTATGATGGGAAGAGGATTTCTATAAATGGCTCTGGTTTGAGTAAGCCGTATACTCTTTTCCATTATAATCCTAACCAGAGGGCATTAAGATGGTAAAAATATCTCTTAACTGACCATTTTATTAAAATGTTTAGTTTCTGTTAATTTTAATTTTTGGTGTTTCTCACCTAAGAAACTATCACTTCAGTTCTGGAAAGTAGATAAAATCCATCTTCTCCTATAAAATGTTAAAAGTTCAAAAGCAATTTTAGGGCAGCACCCGTAGCTCAGTTAAGTGGGGCCTCACCCCCATATACTGAGGGTGGCGGATTCAAACCCAGCCCCAGCCAAACTGCAACAAAAAATAGCTGGGCATTGTGGCCAGCACCTGTAGTCCCAGCTACTTGGGAGGCTGAGGCAAGAGAATCACCTAAGCTCAAGAGCTGGAGGTTGCTGTGAGCTGTGATGTCACAGCACTCTACTAAGGGCAAAAAAGTGAGACGCTACCTCTAAAAAAAAGAAAAAAATCAAAAGCAATTTTAAAAGGACAAGAAAATGACTAAGAAAATAGCTAAAAGTAGTAAAGCATTCAACTATTTAATTCCCCCATTAAATAAAATACTGGTATAAATGTGCTTTTACTCCTTTTTGTATTATTAATTTATCTATCCAGCCATTCACACCATACTTGTTTCAGAACTTACGGTGTTCAGACATTTACTTTTCTAGGCCCAGTTTGGAAAAGACCATTTCCAGGCTCTCCAGAAACTTAATAGTTCAGGGAATTAAGCAAACAAGTGAACGAACAATTCCCACTTTAAGATGGAAAAAATCTGGCTTGGCACCTGTGGCTCAAGCGGCTAAGGCACCAGCCACCTACACCTGAGCTGAAGGGTTTGAATCCAGCCTAGGCCCGCCAAACAATGATGGCTGCAACCAAAAAATAGCTGGGCGTTGTGGCAAGTGCCTGTAGTCCCAGCTACTTGGGAGGCTGAGGCAGGAGAATCACTTGAGCCCAGGAGGTGGAGGTTGCTGTGAGCTGTGATGCCACAACACTCTACTCAGGGTGACAGCTTGAGGCTCTGTCTCAGGAAAAAAAAAAAAAGCTCAGGACTTTGAAACCAGCCTGAGAGAGTGAGGCTCCTTTTCTACAAGAGAAAAGAAAGAGAAAGAAGGGAAAGAAAATAAAGGGGTGTTTGTGAGGGGAGGAGAGAGGAAAGGGATGAGAGAGACTCCGTTTTATCCCAGATCTCCATTTTCCCCATAAAAAAAGTATTTTAAGGAGATAAGCACTGTGGCTCACACCTATAATCCCAGCACTTTGGGAGGTCAAGGTGGGTGAATCGCTTGAGCTCATGAGTTTAAGCCCAGCCTGAGCAAAAGCAAGACCCCATCTCTACTAAAAATAGAAAAACTGAGGCAAGAGGATCACTTGAGCCCAAGAGTTGGAGGTCACTGTGAGCCATGATGCCATAGCATTCTACCCAGGTACAGCTTGAGACTCTGTCCCATGTAAAAAAAAAAAAAGTATTTTTGTATCAGACCCAAAGTCAAAGCATAAGGGTTTGATATTATACACAAATTCCTAAACTTAAAAATAGAATATAACAAAGAGTTTAATTAGATTACTCTGTTGGTTCAAATCCCATCATGTAATTAAATACTTGAAGAAAAGAATCACATCATTTATGCTACTTAAGCACACAATTGATAGCCCTTCAAATAAAATCTACCCCTACATATGAATTCACTGATTAGTATACCAACAATTATATTTGGTATTCTCACTCCACACTCCAAACTGTTAATGCCAAACACGTATCTTCAATAAAAGAAAACATAAAAATATGAAGCCCTAAAAAGAAATAATTTTAAATGACAGAATGTGGGACACAGCAACATTTTTTAAAATATGTTTTATTTAGTGCAGTGTCTTTTAGACTTTTTTAATGTTTTACAAATGTTTGAATGTTTTTAAAAAAGTGATTTTACTTGTTGAGTAAGCAGAGAAGTAGGGATTCCAAAAATATTTCTAAACAAAAGTTCATTAATAAATAACTTTCATAAATTGCTATTTTTCATTATGAAAGAACTACGACTTCTTTCCATGATATACAGATTCTCTACAAAGTATAAAGATATACCAAATGTTAAAATTAAGAAATAAGCAAAAAAAAACCTATTTAAACAGTTCCTGATAAATTAATGTTTCCACTGTAATATCCCTTTAAAATGTGAATGTCATAAAAAATGGTTCTAGTAAAAGTAGGGGAAGCTGTAAATATTTGCAATACTTGTAAGTTAAAAACTATTAAGTTCTATATGCCACAAGAAACACAGAAATTAGTATGATTCTCAAACAACCAAACATATTAAAACTTAAAGAAAATCTATAGTTCTGCTACAAATTTAATTTTTCAAATAATATTAAGTGCATACCCATTAAATCCAGTGACAATTTTCAGTATTCTTTCCTTCATTTCATCAAAGGGAATATATTCAACATTAGGGTTGGGAGGACCTCTTGGTTCAGGAGCTGAAGTTCTAAAATCATCCATCACTTTCTCCAGTTTGAAAATAAAATAGCCTTTAAATTGGGACCACTGAATCCTATAAACAAAAAAATTTAAAAAATGTATTACACCATATAGCTTTACAGTTCTTGCACAAAGTACAAATACAGAATATACCATGACACAAAATTAATTAGTGGTTGGAATGACTGTTCAGGAGCAGGCATCATGCTAATCAATCTTGCAAGTTCAAAGTTGCTTCCATCCAACTTCCCCAACCCAAACAAAACTCAAATCTCTGATTAAGCCTTTCAAATGAACCACCTCTGGCTGGAAATCTATGGTGTGCTAGGTCCCATCAGAACGAATCCGTACCTTAACCTCTTAACTTAATCCAAGCTACAATGCTCATCTCACATGGACTAGGTAAAGTTTCTTGTCTTTCACCTGCTAAGTATCAGTATAACCTTTAATTTCTCTCTTTTCTTTCTCTTTTAGTGAATACTTTCAGGTTTTTTGGTCATTAAAGAGGTTATGTATCATACATTCCACCTAAACAGTAGGCGTATAGTAAAAATGCATAATTTCCTTATGCATGTACTTTTCACATATACTCATTTATTGTTTTTTTTTTTTTGGAGACAGGACCTCAAACTGTCCCCCTCAGCAGAGTGCCGTGGCATCACAGCTCACAGCAACTCCAACTCCTGGGCTCAAGC